TCAATTTTGGTTTCAGACATTTCATCTTCTTTTTCAATGGAATCAATTGTATTAATTGTTTTCAATTCAATATCTTCATTTTTTGTAATACCTGAATATCAGAATAAACCAATTCATACTATATAAACTACAATCTAATAATCTATATATATTTTGAAATAAAATTGTTTAAAAAAAAAATGAAATTCTTCTCTCTAATTATAATATAAAATATTCCAGCATATTTATTATTATTTAAGCTGTAATAATAAATAAATAAATAAAATAATAATTTTGATTACCTACTACTTTTAATCATTAAATAATTTCTTTTCTATAAATTATCTAATAACCTATTCATAGTTCTATATAGGTTATTTTTTAAAATAAAATTGGAGAACCCTACACTGCATGACATTTTTTTTTTTTGCTAATTTTAATTTAATTTAATTTAACCCTAAAGGTTAACCCTAAAGCTTGCAAATCAAATCCTTTCCTTTGTCAAAATTATTACTTACCAGTATTACCATTATTATATATAGGTGATGCTGTTGTAGTATCTGAGATCACCTTTGGTACCATAAATCGATTTAACGATCCAGCCAACTTTTTTTCTTGCTCTTCTCTTTGTAGTTTTAATTTTCTTTTTGCATATTCACTCGGAAGAGCCATTTCAAAGTTAGGATAAATATATAAAATAAAATTTATAAAATATGTACCTATAAACTGTACGGGTACAAGTACTGTAGTGGTGAATATTAAAATTATTAACAATATTGGCAAGTGTACCGCACAACCGTATACACTGTAATCTATTTCTGTGTGCGAGCGTCCGACTATTCTATGAATCAACCTAATATCCCCGATCGACAGAATACTAAAAATAGACATACAACAGTCACTGCTAGATAAGATAAGATTAACTTRAAACGGTACCACCGTACTAGACACTAGTCTATATTATAATGTAATAGTATAGTTTTCAAAAGCAACCATTTYCTAATCCACGGTGGCTTATTAAATAATATAAACTATGACTATTCTGCTTTAACTGGTAACATGTTTGTTGCAAGTTGCAACAGAACATAATAACATATATTATAATATTATATATTTTATTCATAAACACATATTAATATATTATTATCTATATCAGTTTCTAATTTTCTATGTAATAATTTTAAGTATTTATCAATTAATTCTAAATTAAATTCTCTACTGAGGGTGCAATGCACCCTCTGCACCACCGGTAGTTGCGGCACTGCCTRATATAAATTTCATATTATTTACAATGATATATTATTATAGGCACTTAATCATAATAAATATTTTTTACTACCTATTCCAACTCTAGTCAAAGTTATGATGGAATATTATTATTCTTTTGTGAGAATCAACATTTTATATATTAAGTATTATACATAAATTTGTTTGTGAATTTATTACTTAAACTAAAATTTTGTATTTGATATTCATTTATTTGTGAAGTCATTAATAAAATTGAAACATTTATTTAAGGTGTATAGGTTACATAATAAAGATAAGCTATTTATGTACCAATAATATATTACTGGTATCTATTTATTTTTCATTGAGCATCTATTGAAACAAATACATTWATTACCCAAACTTAAAATTTAAATCAATTATTTCATTTAATTAGCAGTTTTTTTTTTGTATAATATGTATAAAAGATAAGATTATATTTGAATTGATATAAACTAAAAATTTTCACAACTTTTTGTTGTTGTTTTTTAATAGGTTAGCCAATAATTGTTTTGTAAGTCACTGTGAATCCAAAAAATATTATAGCCATGGGTACTATTGTAGAAAGTATGGCTAATTGTTCAATATCAACTCAGGACAGAGTAATTGCTCCTTCAAATCAAATTCAAATTTTTCAACTCATTGTAACAAGTAAGTTCAACATTTGTATTAGAAATATACCACCATCGGCACCATCTATAAATTGTTAATTTAATACTGTTTCACGAGGGATATAACCATTTTAAATATAGTCATAGTTAGAGCACCGATTTATATGCATTAAGACCAAACAAATAAGTGCGAAAAAATCTTATATGCACTAAACTGATAAAATATGTGTGAAAAATAAAAAATATGCATAAAAAAAAATAGCAAAAAATATAATTTTTGAACATTTAATTAGGTATATCAACATATTATTTAAAATTATGAAACCCTACTGTAAATATTTTTTTAAATTTTGTTCTAAAATAATGTCAATGGTGAATGGTCGCAATCGATATTTTCTTATCTTAGTATAATTATTATCTATTTTATTTCACTTACCATTGATTTAAGGTCTAAGATCTTTTGAAAAACCGTTTATACCTATCAATTAATTTTGATATTAATCAAAACTATTAAGATAAAATATTTAAAAATAGGTAGTATATATTATTTAAAAAAATTCTTGATAAACAAGAAAACTTCAAAATATGCTCTACAAAATGAAATATGCAATCAAAATTGTATAATAAGCCCTTAAATAGGAAAAATGGATAAATATCATAATATGCAGTTGAAAAGTTTTATTTTTTAAATCGTTATGCTATAAAACAATTTTTATGCTCATTTAGCATATCGTACAATCAACCAGTATAAATATACAAATGCATACCGTGCTCTAGTCAAAGCTAAGCCAAGCCAGGTTATATTCACCATAAAAGAGAAGAACTTGTGCAATATGACTGGAAAATTTAAAACATAACTTAATTTTTTTTTTCAATTTAATGCATTTTATTATAATTATGTTTCTATGATAATTCATTGTTCATCTAATCTATATTGCTATTTTAGTTGAAAGTGCAAATATAAAAAATAGTGGTGGATTGATTAAACCACATCCATATGTTGAACTTATTGTTGATGATTGCAAAAGAAATAAAACTGAAGTTATCAAAAATACATATCAACCAAAATGGAATGAAGAATTCACTGTGTATGTTAATAGTTATTATAAAAGTTTTAAATTTAATTATAATTGGTGTTGAAACATTATTTTCTTTTAGACTTGTTACTCCATACTCAATATTACACTATCGTGTACTAGATTATTGTAAATTTCAAAAAGATGTGCTCATAGCTGAAAAGAATATTAGCCTTTATGATATTTTATGTAATTATAATGGCGTCTGTGATAATTTGGAGTTGACAATTGATTTGATACGAACTCGTCATCATGATCATCAAGCTTCAAGTTCATCCACATCTAACAATTTGGTCAAGGTTGGAGAGTTGATTACTATATTACACGGTTTTCAAATTGATATATCTCAAGTTTCGAATCCATCTAGAGAATCAGGCTCTAGTATCAATAATCGTCAAGGTACACATACTTAATATATAAAAGAAAAATTTATTTAGGTCATTATTTTTCAATAGGATTATCAAATGGCGATTTTAGTAATGGAGTTAGAGCTCGTAGTCGAACCTCTACAAGGGCTGTTGTTGCATCATCAGTTCAAACAACAGGTAATACCTGTTTTTTATTTAAACCATTTAATGATTTTTAATGAATTTCATTTATACATATTTTAGACATGAATGTATCAAATCGTCTTGTAAATAATGTGTTAACAAATAACATTCGGACATCACAAAATCCACCATCACACAATAATTCTAATGAGGGGACAATTACTGTTCATCATCAAAATGGTCCTGTTACACTACCAATAGAAGAGCCATTGCCCGCTGGGTTTGTGAAATAAATAATATATTATTTTTGAGCTAGAAAATATTTTAATTTATAAATTTTATTGTAGCTGGGAAATGAGATTTGATTCATTTGAACGACAATATTATGTAGATCATAACACAAAATCAACATCTTGGGAACGACCTCAACCATTACCTGCTGGTTGGGAGCTAAGAAGAGATAACCGTGGGCGTATTTATTATGTGGATCACAATACTCGTACTACAACATGGCAACGTCCAAACATGGAAAGACTGCAGCATTATCAACATTGGCAAGGCGAAAGAGCTCATGTAGTTCAACAAGGAAACCAAAGATTTCTTTATCCTCAGGTAAAATGTATAAATATTTTATATTTTTATATGTAACTAATTCTGTTTTTATGATTTGTTTAGCATGCTTTGGGAACAGGTTCTGGACCAAATAATAGACAAATTGCAGTTCCACCAACCCCTGTTGTGGAAGAAGAACCATTGCCTAGTGGTTGGGAAAAGCGTATACAACCAGATGGAAGAAATTATTTTGTTAATCATAAAAGTCGCATTACCCAATGGGAAGATCCACGTACACAAGGGTATATATAAGAAATTTTATTTTTTATTTTATTTTCAAGTTATTAATTTTTTTTAGAACTGAGATGATTATTGATAATTCTGATTTACCAACTGGTTGGGAAGTAAGAAAAACCACTGATGGAATTAGATATTTTGTTGATCATAATACACATACAACTACATTTGAAGATCCTCGTATCCATGTACCACCCATTCAATGGTAAATAATAAGAGAATATTAGTTATCTATTATAAGGTATTAATAATGTTTATGATTTTAGTTCTTCTGGTCCTTATGGGGTACCTGCCGCTTATGAAAGATCATTCCGTTGGAAATTAAGCCAGTTCCGATATTTATGTCAAAGTAATGCAATATCAAGCCACATTAAGATAACGGTTTCCAGACAGACACTGTTTGAAGATTCCTATCATCAAATAATGAGATCTGCTGCATATGAAATGAGGAAACGTTTGTACATAGTATTCCGTGGCGAAGAAGGCTTAGATTATGGTGGTGTTTCACGGTACATAATTTCTTATAATTACTAAAACAATTCAATACCAGTATAATAATTAATAATATAATTTTTTTGAATCCCACAGAGAATGGTTTTTCTTACTTTCCCATGAAGTACTCAACCCAATGTACTGTCTATTTGAATATGCCAACAAAAATAATTATAGCTTACAAATTAATCCTGCTTCATATGTGAATCCTGACCATTTGTTATATTTTAAATTTATTGGACGATTCATAGCTATGGTAAGTCTTATAATAAATATGTTTTAAATTATGAAATATTTATACATTTTGTGATCAAAATTACAGGCTTTATATCATGGACGTTTTATTTATTCTGGTTTCACAATGCCCTTTTATAAGCGTATGCTACACAAAAAACTTAACATGAAAGATATTGAATCCATTGACCCAGAATTTTATAACTCATTGGTTTGGATAAGTGAAAATAATTTAGAAGAAAGTGATATTGAAATGTATTTTGGGGTGGATTTTGAAGTACTTGGTCAAGTTGTGCATCACGAGTTGATTGAAAATGGTGACAAAGTAAAGGTTACTGATGCTAATAAAGAAGAATACATTAAATTAATGACTGAATGGAGAATGACACGTGGCATTGAAGAACAGACTCAGGCATTATTAGATGGTTTTAACGAAGTAGTAGCACTAGAATGGTTGAAATATTTTGATGAACGTGAACTTGAACTCATGCTGTGTGGGATGCAAGAGATTGATGTTGAAGACTGGCAGCAGCACACAATTTATCGACATTATAATAGAACTAGCAAGCAAATCAACTGGTTTTGGCAGGTACTAAAGCTAATTGAATTGATATTCCTATTCGACTTTTCCACTGTCACACTAATGCARTCTGTGTATGCCTCATAAAATAATATATGTATATATTTTTTTTAAATTTTGAGATCTATATTATGATCTAATCATTTCAGTTTAAAATAATGTGAGGGTTTCCTAAAATAGTATGGTTAGCAGTAAATGATAATATTTAAAAATACAGTAACATAAAAGTATGTTTGGAACAGTGAAAGGAATAACACATTATGTAAAATTCATTCTAAATGTATAATTTTACATTTATATTCATATTATATTTATCAATAACAATAAATAAAATCCAAATTCTTCAAAAATAGGAAATTAATTTTAAATCATATATATAAAAATAATTTATAATTTAATATAATTAAAAATTTTACTTAATATTTATAAAATCCCATACCAACTATAAAAAATAATTTTTTAAATAAATAAACTGTAAATATTATAAAATAAGTAATATTATAATATCAAAAAGTTAAGTAATTTAATAAATTCATTAAAAAAAATTGAATAATATTTGAATGTATAATTATGATTTCATAATTTTAATTTTTATGAGTCTTATACATTATAATGTTAAGTTTTGTAAATTTTTTCTTTTCTTTTTGCTTCAAAAAATATATATATTGTTTGTATATTCCAAGAAATTTGTTGAATAATTCAAATTCAAATTAATATCAAAATTATTATTATCTTACTAAAAGTGTGTTTTCGACAAAACTCACTATAAAACAAATATATCCTTCCAGCTTTTTTTTGTACTTGGATTTTGACGATTTTTTATATATTTTGTTCTGAAATTTAGTTTGTAAGACAAGCAGACAATGAAAAACGAGCAAGACTTCTTCAGTTTGTGACTGGAACATGCAGAGTTCCAGTGGGTGGGTTTGCTGAGCTTATGGGTGAGTCAAACTAAAAACTAAAAATAATGTTAAAAAAAACTATACATTTTTCTTTAGATYAATATTGTTATTAGTAATTACTATTAAATATAATTATACTTATGTTTAGGGAGCAATGGAGCACAGAGGTTTTGTATTGAAAAGGTTGGTAAAGAAACATGGTTACCTCGGTCTCACACATGCTTTAATAGGTTAGACTTACCGCCATACAAGAGCTATGACCAACTAGTTGAAAAACTCAATTATGCTATTGAGGAGACTGAAGGGTTTTCTCAAGAATGAAACACAAATATTTTCAGGTTAATGTTCCCTCAATTGTTACGATTTTAAATATAGATATAGTAGTATAATATACTAATATTTACAAAACCGAACATTGATATCATGACCTCACGAGATCAAATAAACAGTGAAACCGTATTTAGCTTGATAGAGGTTTAAAATACATTCCTTAATTTATATTCTGTTTTTATTTTATGCATCGTTAATTAATTTTGGAGTTAAGGTGTTTTATTCATTGATGTTTCTCGTTATATATCTCCCATTCATATAGTTACTATTATAGATTTTAAGAACTGTGTTTTTATAAATAAGGCGCATGTATGTAATAAATAAATAAAAAAGTACTTTAAATATAATGTATGGAATGTAAAACTTGATGTACAAAAAAAAAATGAATGGTGGTTATGATTTATAACAAACTATGATTTTGGTGAAAGAAAGTTTAATTTATATTTAAATAAAACATAATCCACTTATTCATTTTAAATAGTTTTTATTATTWAATTGAACTTATATCTGTTCTATTTGTTAATTAAACATAGGGTACTTAAATATTATATAATACATTAAAATATTTATTTATTGCAGTACTATGCAAGAATATTAGAATTGAAAATGCATGTGATCTAAAACTGCAATGATAATCAAATTTATTATTGTTGTTTTTCTTAGATTGTGCTTATGTTTTTGCAAACATGTTTATTTTTTTAAAACATTTAAAGTTACCATGTATAACATTTGTTTATTTTGTATTTTAAAATCTTATTATGAAGAATTTTAGCATTAATTACAATATATAGGATTAGGACCATACAGCATTTAGTAACAGTTGTGTTTAAAAATGCTGAAACATAAATGTATTCAGTTTTTTCTTATGAATGAGCATTTACGAAAAATAAAAATTTAGCTCAAACTGTTTAAAATATTTTATAGGAGATATCTTTAAAAAATGTTTATAAAATTTGTTCAGACATTATTTCTCTGGTTATTATGTTATTAGAAAATTAAAATTYATTTAAGGTAATTGGTGATGGACAGTTGTTAAAGAGTTAAAAATAGGCAATTTTAAAATTGCATGCATGMAGATTCTGTAAATGTGTGTCGCGCATTATGTGCGTGATCAGTAAACAGTTTATGCTCATTTGTATGTRCTTTTTGTCCATCATACCGATTGGGCTAATAATTTATATTTCAAGAAACTGATCTGAATTCTTTATGATATCTACTTGTTTGAAAATTTCCAAATATTTAAACTAAATAACAGTTGTTGTGGTTGGGGAAGGGGGGTGAAATTAAGAAAAGTGAACTGATCAATCTCAAGTTAGCATAATAAGTAGAGCTCGAATGTTGATGACCAAAATGTCATAAAAATATGCTTTAAAAAAATCAAATTATTCAATTAAATGTTTTAAAATATATTTAATATACTTATTTCTTCAACAAAAATATTAATAAAAAAAAAAAAATTATATACTCTTTTAAATGTGTATTTAAAATTAATTTATTACAAAATACACAGCTATTAACGATAAGAAAAATTATAAATTAGCTTCCAATCTATTAAAATTAAATTTAACATAGGTTTAGTACATTAATAGTATCAGGATTACACTGTTTAACAATTATTTTTCAAATATTTTCAAATTTGAAAGATTTTTGACGATCGATTATATATTTTTATAAATTGAAAACGACAGCTCCACGTCTACTGAAGTTGATTGGTGCATACTTAAATTTATCGATGTTGTCAGATATCTTAGTCACTGTGTTGTTGGTTTATAAATATCTCTTAGTTATATGAGTGTTACTCATAAAAAATATTAATGATGATTTTTTATTTTATTTTTTGAAGTATAAAAAACTAACTATGATAAATGATAATAATATAGTCAATTTTTAATATTATACTTATAATTTATAATATATTTACTAAATAACCTAGAAATAATCAATATATGTATATATATACTCAAACTAAATTTACATATACTCTGGTATAATTCTGGTTACACGAAAAAAAAATGCTGCCATAAACATACGAGCTCTAATTATAGCAAATTATAAGTTTTTAATATTATCGCATTACTTGGTCGATCAGTTTGACCAGTGGACAAAATATTGATATACCTATATGAGCTAAAATAACTGTTCACCACTGATATCCTTAATGTTTTAAAATTAATATATTTTTAAAAACGTTTTGGCCGTTTTATGGTACWACTTTGCTGTGTGTGCGTATATTATATGGCTTAAATATAAACTWATTATACCTTACCTTTACGAAAATATTTAAATAGTTCTTGTGCTCGAAATGTATTCTTTTTTTTGTTAAATTAAATATATCTAGACAATGAGCAGTGGTGCCGAATGATATTAAAACTGGCAGTTTAAATAGTTCGATTGATCCACCCATCCCTTCAAACGACTGAGAAACAGGTTTAACTGATTATAAATACATAACTTTATGACATTCCTTTATTTCATAAAATTATAGCAGCAAGATTAGGAAGTATACTCTATTATTTTATCTACCCACCCAATTTTGAAGGCAGTTCAATTGAACTACTTGAAGTATGTGTTCGGCGCCACTGCATTTGAGCATAGGCGTGTGCACAGATGTGGCTTGTATAGGGCTATAGCCCCACCTAAAGTRTTTTTTGAGATGGGCACCAAAAAAGACTATCCCCTGAATAAGGGATATTTTAAGATATTTTTAAAAATTAACAAAAAACATACCAACAATTATATTTTTATATTAAACAACAAGGCCACAATTTGTTTATATATATATATATATATATATTTCACAATTTAATAGCACATTAGAAAAAATAATTCCATCATTTTTGGCATATATCGCTAGACAATATTTGCCCTCCATGGCCTAAAGCTATTTCCATCTAACTACTGGAATTTGGAAGTATTATCACAAGCACGATTCCAGAACACGAGAGATGCATTATTTTATTTATTTAACACATTTTAATTTTCTGTTTGAATATGTTTAATTTATACATATTTTAGTATGTACTTTTTTATGGGAAAGGGGGGGAGGGAGTCTAAACTGTGAAAAGGTGGGTCGATGGTAAAAAAAAAATAGTAGTCGTATTTGCATCAAAAGTGCGCACTCCTATGCATATGATTATAATATGAGTCTAGTAGTCTTTATAAATAGACACAATTTATAATACAAATATAAATTAAAATACTATTTGGAGAGTTATTAAATATTATTATGTATATACTTTTAGAATATAATATATTATCTCAATATTGTTGTTTAATACTATATTTCATTAATAAAAAAAAATATATAAAAATTAATTTTGTTTTTAGTATTGAGTTGTGTTAGAATAATTTCCTACTGATAACCAGTATCATTGGTTAACTGTTATACCACAGCATATTCTGTGGTTATACAATGATCCATATTTAAGATATTATACTGTATGACTCAATTTGCAATAATTATATTAAAGTGTTGGTTTTTTATTAGTGTTGTTTGTRATAATCCAGTCATATCAGTGTGAGTCTATACTCTATATATATAAATATTGTTATGTATTACGATATGCTAATGACATGTATGCTAACRCAACATTGTTAGTTGTCTTTTTTCGTCCAAATTTAAGCTTAAAACAGCAATAAAAAAAATATATTTATATGTTTTTAGATATAAAGTAACAGTATGAACTACTCATTAATAACTTTGTTTTAAATTTTAAATTTAGCTATAAAAACTGAACATTTAAGGAATTTGTCATTGTAAAATAATTTGAACTTAACGTTAAAAATATTTAAGGAATTTGTCATTGTAAAATAATTTGAACATTTTGATGAATTTTGTCGAATTTTGAATTTTAAATACCATATATACAATTTGGAGACTATATGACATGAGGTGCAAAGACTACAAATTGAACTGTACCCTAGTGACTTTTGAATTGTAAGTATACCATCTTCACCGTTGAAAAGTTCTCCAGGATCAAAATTTTCTATCAGGAGAATATTTTGTCAACCAAGAAAAATTATAGTCTCTACAATATTGACTTCTATTTCTCTAGATTTCCCATAACAGATTTTTTTTTATGTGTGAGTACTATATTGATACTTCTTTTTAAGGATTTTTGTGATTGTGTAAAAACATTGTGCGGTAGTAATTGTATTAATGTGATATTTATATGGCTGTAATTATTGCCCTGAGATTTTGGAATATTTGTTTAAAGGTGTTACAACAAATTGTTGTAGTACTGTTATTTTGAATTTTCTTCCTTTATCAGCATAAAGAACACAATACTTGCAAAATAACACTCTTTTGAGATTATTAGAGTTCATCAGTGAACTGTTTTTCAAAAAATGATACATTTAAATTCCTCTTTTCTTTTTTGTTGTTGTTTGTATATAAACTGAATACGTACACAAAATCATTCCCAGGTAAATTCTTTCAGAAAGCTCTGATATTTTGCTTGGTTGTAATATCATATAAATGCATTTGTTTCTTTTAAATAATCTTTAAATGGCCTTTGACGCCGAGGCTTAATATAAATAATAAAAATTAAAAAAATCTAAAGGTTAGCTAATATTTCCACTAAATTTAATACTGTTGATTTCTACGGGATGTTGGATATGGTCATTATAAGTTATAAGCATTTGAATTTATACTATTATGAGGATAATGGTCATTGCCAATCTTTGATTGTCTTATCTTAAATACATGTCTGATCACACCATCTGTGGCTGTGATCTGTGAATTATATGTTGTCTATCATTACACTCCATTAATCCAATAGTCATACACATTTCGAGGTTGTTGTTATATCAAATTATTATTAATTTGTTAATTAATTACACATYTCAGATAGGTAGCATGGGTGAAAATCCAACTATTTKATTTGAGGCAGACAGGTAATTGGCTGGCGTGTAGTTTTTTATTTACAGTATTATCATTGATTAAAATTATTACTAATATTATTGCCAATTAGTTATCAGAAACAGTGCCACATTGGTGACCTAGACATGATCATGTGTTTCAATACTTATTACTTATAGTATTCTAATTATTATTATACACTGTTACACCATCAAGACAGTTTTAATTTTTAATTTTTAAAATTTTTTAATGAATATTGGGTATCATTATTCTATATTATTATACTAATTAATATCAATAAACCATATACAAGTAGCTATATTAAGCGGTTGCATATGGTAATTCATGTATTTTTTATATTGTTACTAATATACTTTGTTTTATTGTATTTTTTCTTTTTTTATTATAGTCTTTATATTCATAAAGTCTAGAAAAATGATTACCGTTATATCTTTACAGCTAACCAAGCTWATAAAGAAGAGATGATCTATTATACCTATCCTCCATTAATGTTATCTGCAGTTATGTCAATAAATTCAATAAAAATATTCAATGTAGTCACCTACTTAAAATCTGACTTAAGTCTCTAACATAACATATTCCTGAATTTAATAATGTTAAATAATGCATCATAGAATCATATTAAAGACAAGAAGAAGATGGAGAACGATTGGATTTCAAAGACACGAATCTGACGATACTTTAATATAGCCAACATTGAAGATATTATTTCTAAGATGAACACCACCACAATATTGTTCATTCTTCTACTATTTCAAGTGGAATTAAGATTAAACCATTGATACAAACACCTATATTTAATGGCAATTTGGAAGATTAGCCAYCATTCAGTGATACTTTCAACATTTTGTTCCACAATAATACACAATTAAGTGATCTGCAATGGCTTCTTTATTTAAATTTCAGTGTAACGCACTCGGCAGCTGATAAAATAAAAAATTTCTCTATAAAGTCAGAAAATTATTAGGTCGTCTATGATGAATTAGTGCTTATTTTTCTACTTATTCTCTACTAAAGGACTTGCCTTGTCGTTGCAAATCTGGTTCACCATTCTTCTCTGTTAAAAGCTAAAGTATTTCCGATTTAGACACTAAAGCAATATCATCTGCAAATCCTATGCAGTGGATCTTTTCTCAATTTACGCTTATTCCGCATTAAAGTTTTTCTTATACTTATCTATGATTTATTTGACGAATAAATTGAACAAATAAGAAGATAATGAGCAACCTTGTCTTACTCTTCTTTTATTTTTTGCTGTAGTACTATGTTTTCTTACCTCTATTAAGGTTTCTTTCTCTTTGTATAGTAACACAGCTGAACCCGTGAACTTCGTAGCCCGTTAAAAATCATACCTCTTGAATGTCTCAAACTGTTAATTAAATTCGTTGTTTGTGATCATGCTAGTAGTATTTTTTATACATATAGATAGATAATGGTTAAAATATACCTAGTAATAAACTTACACTGATAATCAATTTAGTTTATCATTATGTAAACTTATTCGTTTTGTCTAGAAAAGTCTGACAATTCAAATATTC